TGTCATACCCTATGGCTCCCCACACCATGATGTCATACCCTATGGCTCCCCACACCATGATGCCAGGAGTAACCACAGTGTGTCTCTCCACAACACTGGCAGGATTTGTCCTGTACCCTCGCCGCCGCCATACGTGAACATGGCGGTCATCCGTGGTAATGCAGAACTGAAATTCATCGCTGAACATCATACGATGCCAGTCCATGCCTCCCGGTTACGGCACCACGCCAAACACAGCCATCTCTGCGCTGGTGTTAATGGCAGCCTATGGATGGGACAGTGAACCCATAGTCTGGCTGATGCCAGATGTCGAGACACAGTGCAGGGTGACATGGGGTGATGTGGAGAGTCCAGTACCTGTGTCCGGATGGCAGGTGCAGATCTCATGCTTGGTTCTGTAATGCTTGTCACACAATACGATGACCCTTCCTTGATGTGGTCTGTCTTGGGTAAACAGAACCTCTACGACATGTGTGGGTGCCCTCACATGCCCATTAGTTCCAACATCGGGTGACTGTGACATCTGCATGCCCCACACGCCGGGCAATTGCACGATACGACCACCTGGCCTCATGCAAACCCACAATGCGACCCCTATCAAACTCTGTCTAGTGCTGGTAATGCTATGTAATGTGTCTACGAGGCATCCTCTGGGTCTGGTGACTAGACGTGCCAGCTACTTGCAAATCAAACCATTTACATGTCCATCCCTGGTCCACACGTGGACCAAATTACTTCTAAATTGGACCATTACTTCTGGGTGCTTAACTTTTTTTGTCACTGACTATATATAAACTTGTGTTCAGATCAGAAGGGTCTTAAAACTGTTGTTCTCAGCACTGGCTCAGCATAAAATCCTGAGTGTGTAACTTATCAGACCATCTTCTTAATGAGGTTTCATTTGCCTCATTAGAAATGAAAGGTATAGTTATAGCATACAGAACTTAACAACTGCAAGTTTCAAATCTCTATTAGAAGTGTTAATGGCCATGTTTGTTCATTCATTACTTGATGAATTTAAATATTTGATCACATTTGTTCTTGCATATTTCTGGGCTGGAAAGGGGAAATTTTCTTGAAGAATATTATCTGTAACCCACACCTCCAAAAATCTGAAATGAATAAATGAAATGAAAAGCAGTTTGCTGAGGATTCTCTGGAATCAGGGCAGAGCCCCTTTTGCTGGGATGGTGTTGTTCCATGTGGGGACAGCATTGTCTGAGGAGAACTTGAGCTGAGGGTTTCTATTGTATGATTAGGTTGGGGACCCCATCTTACTGATTTCCAAGCTAGGGGCCAATACTACTTCATTAATCAAGCCTGAGACTAAACAAATGACTCCTTGACATGTAAATATATTATTGTGCATTATTATTTTACAAATGCTAGCCAACTTCAAACAAGGGCTACAAAAAACAAAAATTTGTTTATGAAAAACTAGTTTGATGATTTGAAATATTATTAGTATTATTTCCAATAAATGATTACAATTTATTGACTATTTATTCATCCACCCCCCACCCCTTATCCAATACAGGGGAATGTAGTCTGTCTCAGGGCACAAGCAGGGGGGCACCCTGGATGGGATGCCCATCCATTAAAGGGCACATACACGATGGGTAATTAAGAGTCACCCATTTGCCCAACTGCCTAGGGTAATTGCAGGAGGAAACCCCCAGCCCTGATGATTTAGCCCCCCCCCCCTGAGTAGAAGAAATAACACTTATTTAACTCTTTCCAGCCGTGGGCCAGCAGGTTGGGAGACAGCCGTTGCCTATAGTGATCCGGGGGCGGTGGTTAAGATGGCGGTAATCAGGACCTCCCTGAGAAAACAGTCCAAGGCTACAGCTCTTAAGAGGAGGAAGATCCACCCCTCCGGACTCACGGGCAGAGGTGAGATTCATGTCGGTTTGTTTAAACATGCTTTAATTAAAAGCCTTGAACGGTTTGAAGTTTTAACAATCATTTGTAGCACCGATATTTGTGTTCTGCATGTTGAATTCAAAATAATATATGGAGGAATAGTTTGTAGCACAGTTCCTCGGGTATCTCTCTCATGTAGAAAGGGTCATTTAAGAGTTCCTAATCAACTCTTTGTATTTACTGTGTCTATAAAGGCATGTGTACTAAGTTTCTTTTCTCTTGTACACCTTTTAATGTAAAATATGCCGGGTCCTGTGAAGGCATTTATAAGATCCATGACAAATCAGGACTGTAAGCTTACTGTGTTCCTCAACCCTTTGTGGAAACATACTGATTACATTCAAGATGCAGGCATAGCTAGGCAGTACTTGTTATTTCGCCTCTATGTTTCTCTTCTGCACAGGTATGCCAATATAACTATGACATTGTTGCAAGCATTTGTTCAGTATCTTCACTTCATAACGACTCAAGAAGTTTTCAGAGCTTCTCACAGGATTTTGGGAATAATTATTTGTCTAACGATTTGCACAAGTCCTGTAATTGGAGAGGTGATGCGCAAGGTCTCCATGCTGGGGTTCAGTTAAAGGCTGTGTTTCGTTTTAGTGTTTTCCAAGGTGGCTCTTTGATCTTATCAGTTCATTGTAGTAGAAGTGACTCCCTTAAGGCTTAACTGTGATTGTTTCCGTATTTGTATATAATAGGTTACATATAAGGGTCAAGGTCTACCAACGGTCATTGAAAGCATTTTAAGGACTTTTCAAATATATTTGCTACCAACAGAATGGATTGATGTTTTGAAAATCCTACTACGTCTAATGGTGGTGTATATTTAAAATATACTATAGCTAAAACTTTCACGTTTAGTATTTTTTTCCATATTATGGAATGGGCTTTAAATGTGATTTTGATTTATGTATTGGTTGTGCATTAATGCATTGAGCTGCCTTCAATTTAACTGTTGTGTTTCAGAACTTAGTTAAGTCTCTAGTGGGGAAAATAGATTATTTTAGGAGGTGTGGAGTACTTAGAATCAAAGAGCTGTATTTGGGTACAGTTTTATACTTGTGTATTTTATTTGTGGTGTTCGTATTAATAGAGAACAGCCATTAAAGCAAAAATATAGCATTTGCAAGATAATTGTTTCATATCTTGTCACAGTTCCTCAAAATTATCTTGCCATTCACAGAATAATTTCCTCCTGTAGTAAATATTGTTATATACTTCTACAGTGTTGTTTGGCTGGCTGTTTTGTAAGTAGAAATAAACTTAACTTAATGTATTAATGGCAATAACAGAAAATCCATTTGGTGCCGTTTTTTCAGTATAATGCCTGTTTCATATTGTCATCAGTCAGGAATCAAGTCCGAACAGAATAGTGCCAGTTGAATGAGGATGCTCCAGCCAGTTCAGGTTCTGAGGCTATGAGGAACAGTGGAACGTGCCATATGCTCTAAACAGAAGCGGTGAAGCTATTGAATGCTGTCACCATCAGGGACCACAGGTCTGATTCCATTTCACGTTTTGTGTCTGGCACATGGTGTGTGCGGGGCAGTCTCAGTGGTAGGGAGTGTTGTCACAGAACAGCAGGTGGATGTCTCCCCCGCCTCCATCGCTGCCCATTCAAACTGGGGTCTTGACCAATCAGAATGCAGTCCACTACTCTATTCAAAGTGAAAAGGCGGTTGGAAATTGACTGCATTAACTGGCTGTTTGCTCTTTTCTTTTTTCTCCCTACTTCTGAATAGACTTGGACACATTTCCTTGCTACTTAACTCAGGGACGGTTCAGTTTCTCCTATGGGTGTCCAACCTTTATATTTTCAGTTCTTCTTTTCCTGTGCTTTCACTCTAAGGTTATTAGGAGTGGGATTTTGTTTCTGAGCTGATGGCTTTTATGGGAGCTTGACTCAATCATGGATTTTGCCGGTGTGCACGGAAACTCTTTGGTCAACTGCTCAACCAAGTTTCAGGAGTCATCTTTCCTTTTACAGACCTTTGGTGAGTTTGGGGAATTGGGGGTCTTATATCTGATCCTTATGTTGATGGATAAATAAGTTTCCAGCTGTGTATTTGGTCATATATCTCAGAGGCGTGAGGTGTTATGACCAATGTGTTTTAATGTATTTAACTCATTTAGCTCATACATTTTTGTGAGTCTGAGGAGTAAATGCACTGTCAGTGATGGATTCTCTGCCACGGAAGGTGGTCCTGTAAACTCTCATTGGCTTCTTGGTTTTCAGGTGGCTCATGTGACAGAACATACACTGCATGTCACTGCAGTTTAAGGGTAGTTCTCTTATGGTGCTGTGTGGCCTGTCGGAGGTGATATTCATTACCATTGCATATCAACAGTCCCTCATTTCAGAATGCTTTAATAATTCAGTTTTGTACAAAAGGAGCGTGCAAGGATGTGATCATGGCCTTGGAGAGAAGCCTGATTAATATTTCAGTGTTTACCTGAGAACACCGATAAAAAGAGAGACGATGAGATAGGCATGTTTATTTCAGTGCCCAGGATGCATCCCAGCATTTTGCTACATTGGTGCACTCTGCGCAAATTCTTGCCCACAGATAACTGTAAACAGTGTTGGGCATTTCAGGTCCAGAAGCTACAAATCCAGACAAAGATTTTGTTTTGGGCCATTCTATGCTTCCAAATTTGTGGGAACAGTTTGGGGAAGACCCTTTTCTGTTTCAGCATGACTGCGTTCCAGAGCACAAAGCAAGGTCCATAATGACATGATTGGGTTAGTTTGGTGTGGAAGAACTTGACTGGCCTGCACAGAGTCCTGACCTCAACCCCATCGAAAACCTTTGGAATGAACTTGAATGGAGATTGCGAGCAGACCTTCATGTCCAGCATCAGTGCTTGACCTGACAAATATTCTTCTGGATGAATGGGCAAAAATTCCTACAGACACACTCCATAAACTTGTGGAAAGCCTTGAATCAAAGAGAAGTGTGGAAGCTGTTATAGCTGCAAATGGGGGACCTGCTCCATATGCCTATGGATTAAGAATGGAATGTCATAAAAGTTCCTGTAGGTTGTAATGGCCTGGTGTCCCAATGCTTTTGTACATATAGTGTATCTAAACCAGAAAGGTGCTAATGTTTTACTCAGGTAGTCCGGACCTCTGTATCAGGTTAGGGAAGCAGTCAAGAAGGGTGGAGTGACTAAGGTATCGTGATTTCAAGAGTTTTCAGACACTACTGATAGAGAGTTCTATAGAGTTATTGAAATTATTGACAGAAGTGTGTGGGAATCTGTGTTTTAGTGCTAAATGCTTCCTTCAGATGAATTTTCATACACAGTGACAATCAGAAATGTACATTTCAGAAACCGTCCAGTAACTGTAACTGTGACTGTTTATACACAACTGGTTGGTTGAAATAACATCTTGGCCTGGATTTTTACTTTCTAGATCTGAAATGTCCACCTCTGTTCAGAATTCATATTTCAAAGTTTTACACAGCATGATGGGACCTGCGGTAAATGGAGAGACCCAGTGACAAATCATTTTATAATTTTCAAGGAGTCCCTGGGATGGTGCTTGAAGCAGGCTGGTAAAATGACGTGTATTTTGTGTGAGATGTTAGAAGTTCCACTGAGGACTATATTTCAGCTCCATGCTTAATTCCATTATGTCAGAATGTTTTTAGAAATGGTTTGTTTGAACAATCGATTTAATCTCTTTAATCTCCATGTAACTTTTTGCATGTTTAAGCCTAATTCAGTTGAAATTAGATCTGTTTAAAAATAGTACCACAACTGTATATGTACACACTATGAACCACACAGGACTGAAGCCTTACTTTTAGAAGGACAATAATGCACATTCTAAATGCTTCTTTCCTTTGTATATAGGTCAGCTAAAACTGTCCATCACACCTGACAATGGGCTGCTGTACATTCACAGTAAGTACAGTGATATCATTTAACATTTATCAGGGAATGCTTGAATATTTGGTCCCCTTAAAGCCATAGAGTTTCAGTACACCCCCTGGTGCAGTAGGGGGCAGCAGTGTTCTGTGTAACGGATGCTCTTTGCTTCTCTAGAGTAATCCCAATAACATGAGATTTGTGGCACTAAACTTCAAGCAATTAATTTGACCATTTTTTGTCTTTTTCTTTCAAGATAAAGTTAATAACAATGACTTTTAAAGCACAACAGTAAAATGAAATTGACAAGATTGAGCTAAGTTTGTGCTGCTGTTTTAGTTTTAGTTCGCAGGCAGTACATATACAGAAAAAAATAGGTTTTTGCTGTTGGTCTCTTATAGGCATTTAGTCTGTTAAACCTAGTTAAATTAGTCCTGCAACTAGCTTGTGCTAGGGTTGTTGGTGTCTGCATCTCTAGTAATTAATATCTATTCATCCTCAGTCATGGAGGCAAGGGGGCTGCTGGGAAAGGAGTATCGAACATGTGACTCATATGTGAAGGTAAAGAACTGATTGAAAATAACAACAACAATAATAATAAAGGAACTGGGGGGTATTCCAGAAAGCTTGGTTAACTTACCATTT